CAGCAGCCAGGATTCAGTTGCTCTGGCATGTAAGGAAGTTGAGGAAAAGCCAGAGCATGTCCTGACAGGGAGCTGCATAGTTTTGTTAGCGTGACAGAAAACTGCTCGTTTCTGCCGGCATGACACTGCTGACAATTTGTACCTGCGAGCAACATCATCAAGACAGTGAGGACATTTCCTCATTTTATCATTCTGAGAGACACATAAAGCCACTATGCACCTGAGTGTGTGGTCTCACATCCTTTAACGGTTTTTGCAGCTGGTAGTTTTGCATATATTAGTGCTGAGCATGCTACCAAAGTCTGCAGATATTATACAGAACAGACCACTGAACTGGCTAATCTGTGTGGTGTGTGTTCCCTCATATGCTTCCCCCTACCCTTAGAAATTAACAGAGTTGTAAAGAATTTCTTTCTCCCCCCTGACTCTGTAGGCTGCTTTGTGGTCTGCTGGACACCCGCACTGGTTGTGCTGCTGCTCGATGGTCTAAACTGTGACAGGAGTTTGGTGCTAGGCCCCGAGAAATACTGTCTGGTGCTGGCAGAGTGCAACTCCTTCGTCAACCCCATCATCTACTGCTTCAGGGACCAAGACATGAGGAGGACCTTCAAGGAGATTCTGTGCTGCAACTGGTCTCAGAGGCACAAGAACAGAGGCTTCTCTGAAGTTAAATTTCACACCGTGGAGCAAGAGGTACTGTCCGAGAGCAATGGAATCGATGACAGCAATCACAATCAAAACAAGCACATGCTCTAAGGACTGTTTATGATTTTAGGCCACTTGATATCATGCTGACTGTAGTCAGATGATCTGTCCATCTAAATATTTTGAGAGAGATGTGCGACAGCAGCGTAGCTGAATGTGGCTCCTTGTTGTTGTTGTTGTTGTTGTTTTTTTGTTTTTTTTTTTAATCTATCTATATATCCATTAGGGGTGCAACGATACACAAAATTCTCGGTTCGGTTCGATACTTTGGTGTCACGGTTCGATATTTTTTCAATACAAAAAAATGTTCATGCTTTTTTTAATTTGTCATTTATTAAAATTATAAATGTATATTTTAACTCAAACGTACAGTTTTTAAATTTAATGTTGCTGAAACAACAAAGGGATAAAATAATAAATCTATCTGATCGAGAAATCACTCATCTTTGGAAAAAGAGAGTTTATCACAGAGAAATGGCTCTTTCCAAAATAAAAGCTATACTATACGCTTCTTCTGGGCTATATTCTCAGCAGCATATTAAACATATCAGGTCCCCATAAGGAGAATCATGTGCTAACGGCTGTCTAAATGACTCGGGTAAAGTTTGTAGCATGCGTGCTTGTTGTTTTTGTCTGCTTCCACTTGTCTTTGCACTAGGATGATGTCGACGTAAATGTGCGGTCATATTCATTTTGTTCCCACCAGTGCTGTCAGCACTAGTGGGAACTGGAATGACGTTAACGCCACAACACGGCAAATCTCCGTTAACGAGCTACCGCGGATCGCCCCGTGCGTGGGGCTGGTGCAAACTGCGCTAACGCAGTAGTTCCCACCCATGTAATTGAGCATTGCGTGGCACATCCATCATACTGTTTTACTTTTGTCCATGACGCGTTTACCTTCAGGGTCATACGTCACATGAAGACCAAAATAGTTCCAAAGGCCAGATCTGAATGAGGGTGGGGGAGGTTCAATTTGCCATGTTGCAACGAGCTTAGCTTCTGTCTTGCTAGCTTGCGCTGCGCTCAGTGGATCTGCGCTCGACAGTGCAGCCTAGGCGGAGTAGTTGAACGCAGATCCACTGAGCTCTCAACTCAGACAGCATCGTAAGAAGAAAAGTTGATAAAATAAATTAAAAACTTTGTATTGTTCGATACAAATGCGTACCGAACCGAAAGCACTGTATCGAATGGTTCAATATCGATACGAGTATCGTTGCACCCCTAATATCCATATAGATAGATAGATAGATAGATAGATAGATAGATATTTGTTGTTTAATTTCCTGAATGTCATGCCTGCAAAAAGTCCAGTTTGTGCCAGGTTTTCAGTCTATATACACACAGTTTACACACTGCATCCAGTAGTTTCGTCCATCTGTCAGTGAGACCTGGCAAATCTGCAACATGCGACACAAATCAGGGAAGAGCAGACACGGCTAGTCTTTGCGCAGGGAGGCTGATCAGTTAGGTGTCCGATGTTTTTGTTTGTTTTTATTCTTATTGCAGTGCTTCTTACTGCAAAGAGCTGAAAAGACTCGTTAATTAATTGCTTATAAGTAAAATGTTGCAGAACCTCTCAACATCTCCCTCCAGTTAAAATTGAACAACAGGTTAGAAGCAGTTTGATCAGAGCCAGCTGCATAAAACTGTAAATGCAGCGTGCAGGGACAGTCTGTAAAGTGCTTCACATTACTGTCTCCACTCAGTTATACTGAGAACTTGGGTTGCGGAAAGATAACTTTTTAATTATTATTAGTATTATTGTTGTTGTGGCTTACTTTTTCCTTTTTTTCTTTTTTCTTTTTTTTTTTTTTGGTGCATATTTTGAGGAAGTTTCTATTTGGAAAAACCACGTATCTTCACTGTAGTGCTCACTTCCCCAGTCAAAGCCTTTGTGCTGTTTTTTTTTTCTTTTTTCATATATTCAGCTGAGAGCTTGTCTATGGTTGTATTATGTGAAAATTGTATTAGTCTTTAGAAGTGCACCAGAAACCGCAAGCACGGCGTTGATGTGCACTTTGCATACATGTGAGTTATTGTGTTCTTGTCTGTCTGAGCGATTGTAAACAAATGTGCTTTTTTTGTTGCGCTGCAGTATCAGTGTTGACTGGTCCAAGAGATGGTTTAGTTCATGGCGATTGGTCACATCACAGCATTTATTGAGGCGTAAACAAACACTGCACTTGTAGAATTTCTTTTAGTAAGGATGTGAGAAAAAACACATTCAGAGAAAACCTCCAACAGAGGTCCAAAACACAGAACTCATTCAACACAGTGACTTTGTGTTAAATGTTCCATAACTTAAACTTTGATATTCTACAATGTTTCTTTTTTTTTATTATTATTATTATTTAATCTAGGATCTGTTGGTTGTGTGCTTCCTTCTTTCAGTTCTTGTTTCTCACACTTTAATCCTGCCACTAAATTCTGTGTGGATTTGTGGCAGACTGTGTCAGAGTCAGTAATGTGGAAACTGGTAAGCAAATGGCCTTTCTGTTTCTGTTCAGCTCACAGCTGCAGACTCGTCACCATCATTTAGAAATCTCCCACTTCTTTTGTGTGTGCACGTTGCACCTGGCTAAACTATGATTTATGTGGGGTCTTGTTTGCGACTGCTTTGCATTTACCTTCCGTTTCACTGTCAAATGTAAGCTGACTTTGCTAACTTTGGTATTAAATCTGAAAACGTGCGACATCTAAACCCATACTCGAATGTGTACCGCACGTGTTGAGAGAGTACACACTGCTGTGTGATGCTGTTGATGGAGGAGGTCAAGAGCTGAAGAGTTGACAAGTGGGTGGAAGCTGGGAAGAAAGAGGCACACAGCCAAAGAGCAATGAAAGTGTTGGAATGCGAGCTAAAGACCGAAACAACAGGGCTGCAAAAATGTTATGTTGAGTTTGTTCATTGTTCAGTTGACTCTACAAAATGTTGGGAAAACTAAAGATTTACCTAAATAGCTACACAGTGCTGTAGGCAGTTTTTCTGTGTAAAAACAAAATTCAAAAATTAAGACGCAAACATAATTCACAAATTGACACTTAAAGTATTTTGTGAAGGGGAAAAAAAGGAAAAAAAACTCTGTCACTGTAAATGAGATACATGCTTTGTTGCCTGATTTGAGATATGAGTTGACCCTTTTTTTTAATTTTTTTTATTCAAAACATTTCATTTGTTCTACAGACAGGCACAATTAAACCCAACGTTTAGCTTCATCATTATTAGGATTTTTATGCGTGATATCTGTTTGTAGACTTATATAATTGTATGTAATTATACATGTATATTGCATATTGAGGTAGGATCAAATGAGTTTACCTTTAAGTCTGTACCAACCCTTTCTTTGTCTCATTATTGTTTAAAGTGCATTTTGTTGTTATAGTCAACAAAGTCATGTTCAAAATAAATCAATCATTCAGTGAAAAAAAATAAAAGAAAGTATTTTGTAAATAGCCACTTTATTAGCCACTTAGCATGCTAATTAACTGCCACCAGTAGGGACATTACTGTATAAGCTTTCCTGTGTGTCAGTAGTGCTGAACTAAGCATCTTTGACTGGATGTCTTATAGGAGTGCCTAAAATTATATTAATAATTGTTGATCATGCTGAAATTCTTTCTCAACATCTGTTAAACATGGACACTAAAACAAAATTGAAAAATAAAACAGGCAAACATGTATTCTGATAGATTTTAAGTTGCTACAATGATTTTAGACAGACTTTCAGGCTATTGGTGCAATTAACTGCACAGCAAGTCATGCTAGTTGTTAGATTATTCCATTCAAAAGTCCACCAACACAACTTTTTTTTTTTTTTAATTTGGAGTCTTTGCGGACTTACTGTCTTGGAATTGGCGTCAAGTGTCCATTTGAAGAACTGCAGTTTTTGGCACTTCGGCACTGACTTTATTTTTGCGTCGCAAAGTTTGTTGCTTAGTAAGAAACTCCTAGCCCTAACCCTCCCATTTAGGTTTCTGATTTGCCGTCGTTAATATTTAAGCTCGATATCTCAAACTTCAAAGCTTAGAATTACGGTTTGAACCTTCAGTTCTGTCTTAACCTGTTCAAAATTTGGTTGTGTATGCGCAAAACATCTGTGTTCACACTGTGTCCCATCATTCATGCAGAATAAAGGCCACAAATATAATTCCATGCATTGCATATGCACTTTTATCCAGCCACCAAATTTTCCAGGCCAACTTTTTAACTTTTTAGCTCCTCAAAATCCCAATCAGTGAGGTTAAATCACCTCTCTGCCTTATGCTATAAACAGATTTGGTAATTACCCAAATGCCTGGAATTATCCTGTTGCCTGATGCAACTATTACTCTAGTTTATGCTGACCGTAACATTTCTGTGTCCTGTGTGCACTTCATTAATCCATGTGTTTTGTAGCTTGTGTACGCTCATGTTGTGGTAGTGTTTAAACCAGTCCAGATGTGTTAGTGGTTAGCAGGTCATGATTCTTGCCACATTTCCTCTGACTCGTTACTCTGGCATGTGTGTTCAAAGAATACATTCTCGGTACAGAGGAAGTGCTGCAAGGAGTGTGTTATCTTGTTAGTGTGCACGTGCATACTTGAGTGAGAAATAATTCACAGAAACATTGTCTTTGTTTTTTTGGGGGGGACATAAAGATCAAAGAGCACAGCATTGTGTCTGTTTATACATATATATCCTAATTATACCTCTTGTCATTTAGATTTTAATTAGATCAAAGTTTTAACCGATTGTTATATCATAGGCGTACTTTTTTGTTTTTGTTTTTTCCTTGGTGTTGTTCCAGCGATTCAGGAAGTTTTTTACGTGATTTTTGGGCTTTTTTTGTTTTGTTTTAAATTTTGTACATTGTTACGACTAATAAGAATAAATGCACCATCTGTGTACGTCTGCAATTTGTTTGGTCGTGTGTGTCTGTTGCTTTGCGGTAACTGCTGAAATTTGCAATTTAGAAACATGGCAGGTCGTGTGGAAACGCTCCTTTGGGTATGAACATGAAATTCATCTCTTTCTAACTGCTTGTTTGTTTGTGGGTTTTATTTTTTTATTTTTTGCTAGTTTTCATATGACTAACCCACCCACCTCCCCCCTCTCTATTTTTCACATTCTCCCCGTTGCATCTAATCCCCATTTCTTATCATTGTCATGATTTTTTTTTTTTTTGTTAATAATTTTTAAACCCTTCACCCTCCTGGTTCTTTGACCTCATTTTCAGTTTCTCACACTCTTGTCTGTTTCTCCACCTTTGTCTCTAGAATGGTAAGTCTCGTATCCCCAAGGCGAAAGAGAGGAGCAACGGGGCGCCTCTCATCCGTGCCAGCTCAGAGGACATCCCTGCAAGTCCGATTAACTGAGACCAGCTGAGAAATTTCGAGGCATGCACACATGCATATCTAAGTGAACTTATCTGTGTATGTACACAAAAATGAGCCTTGAGCTGGTTCTTCAAGGATTATGTAGATTTTTTTTTTTCTTTTTTTTTTTATATAAAGGGTTTTACCTCTGCTGTGGGTTTACAGTTTCTGCAGCTACTGGTAGAAGAGATACACTCTTTGGCTGGAAGCTTCATAACAGCAGCTTTATCTTCTCATTTAAACACAAGCCCGCCACCAACACCTCCCCTGCACAGACGCGTACACATTGTTGGGATCACTTGGACAACATGGGAGACACACGTGAGAGTTTCCTGTTGAGACATGAGTGACTCGGCAGTTTTTTGTTGGGTTTTTTTTTTTTTTTTTTTCCCCTCAGTGACAACAGTGATGGAAGACCAACACCTGGAAAGCTACACAGCAGACCGTGGAATAAATGTGTGAAAATGTGCAATCATAAAGAATGCGCTCTGTGCTTTAGTTATGAGTCACACAAGAGTAGTTTGCTGGCTACTCTTAGCTTAAGTTAATGTGATCCAAGTTGTTACCACTAGTGCAGTAAGTCCTCCTTAATAAATTTCGGGGTGTTTATTTAATTGCATGACCAGAAAGCTTTTTGTGATATAGAGCGTGTGTGTGTGTGTGTGTGTGTGTGTGTGTGTGAGAATAAAATACTAGAAACATGACTTTTATAACGTGGATTGATTTAAAAAGTAAACAGTAAAGTCCTGGAGGATGGATTTTATTGGCCTGTGTTATTTTGAGTAAACAGTCAGCTGTTGTGTGTGCAGATATAGTTTCAGACAGGGGCCCAATGGCCACTCTAAGGGCATTAATAAGTAGTTTAGTAACATTAAAGTTATAGATTAATCAGGTTTGATATTTTTAAACTACTTCAAAGATTTAAAACTATTTTAGTGGGTTTCTTACACTTTTTGTCCAATCAGCAGCACCTTTTTTTTTTTTCTTGCCAACATTTGTAGATGGTGTTCCTGTCACAAATGTTATATGGATTGTTGTTGTTTTTAAATCCCTCAAGGTATACGTGCCTGTTATGACGCACAGTTTTCGTTTTCTTTTATTCGTCAAAATGAGCGCCGTGCCTTGTAAATCTACAGCCAGTGAAAAATGTGGTTACAAATGTTGCGTTTCTTTTTAATATACAGCCAGTGTGATATAAGAATGAGATGCAAGTTGTTGTTTTTATTTAGTTTTTTTCCACTCGCTGCATGCTGCTTGTGTTTGCATAATGTAAATTGTTCACTTACAATGTTTGTCATAGAAATATACAACTTAAATTTGCAATGACATTGTAATGGTTGATATTGTAACAGTATTCAGTAGTAATTTCCGGGATATGAAGCCCATCATTTGTCAGCAGGATGATCCACAAATGTTTTTATTGCTGAGTAAAGCTTTTGAGTAAAATATTGCAGCTGATTAATATTGATTTTTGGGAGAAACTGACATGTTTAAAAGAACCGTTGACGGCTGTAACACGTTTTCTGCCATTATAATCTGCTCTCTGAGTGATGCCATTAAAAACGTGTATCATGCTGACTGTAATGTGGCCTGTTTACAGAGTTGTCACGTCTTCCTGCCAGATTGGAGGCGGTTGTTATCTGTTTGCAGCTGGACGAATGGATCGTATGATCTCATTGAGTTTCTTTTTAGGCACCTTTGCCTCACTTGTTGGATCATTTGCCTTATTTTCCTTAGATCGAGGAACAGTGTCTGTCTGACTGGTAATGTCTTTCTTCTCATCCTTGGAAAGTTTCTTTTTTATTTGCTCTCCAACTCTTTCCAGCCCCCCTTTGTCCTTCTCCTTCCTTCCCGGTGAACCAGTTTGACTCGTCTCTTTCTTTGTGTAATCCATCGAGAGTCCTTTCAGCAATGTCGGCACTTTCTTGTTTGCTGTCAGTGACGGTTTCTTCTTGGAATCCTTGTCCTTCCTCGACTTTTTCACACTCAGTTTGTCCAGCGACAGAGCATTCTTCTTGCGTTTCTTATGAGGCAGCACCCTCTTCAGTTGACTCCAGGTCTTTTTCAGAGGTGATTTCTTCTTCTTCTTCGGCCAAAAGATGGTTGTTTTTGAGGAGGAGCCACCCATTGCTGACCTGCAGGAAGAAGTAAAATGTGATCAGCACAAACGCACAAGTTGTTCTGGCAGCTTTTTACAACAGTTTAACACAGCTATAAATATACCTCATACATAATACCTAAACAATTTGAAAGCTAGATTTTAAGATTGTTTAAATAAAAACTCCTAACGTGTAACTGTGTCTCGATGCATGCGCAGTCATCCAGGTAAGAATGTGTAAGTATATTTGGAGTTTTGGGATAAGCAAAATTTGAAAACTGAAAAGGTCAGCAGGGTCATTCCAAGCTGATGGTGGTTAAATGTATTTCAGTGTTAGGTCTTAGAAAAGGGCTGTATTTGATTATTACCTACTCATCTGGTTAATTTGATTATATTACAGAGTTTAGTTCTCAGTCAAGGAGAAAGTTAATTAATGATGGTGCTCTAAGGTAAAGACGCCCAACAAGGCTCAACATCCTCTAGTGGGCTCCTGCCCAGCACTGTGACAGCTGATTGGCAGTTACCATAAAATGCCAGAAGTAGCAGCTCCACCATTGGAGCCAGGTGGAACCTCAGACTGTCCAGGAGTTAGGTGATGCCCTGATCCAGCTGGGGGGGTGCATCTATTGTCTCATTGGGTGCATGCTACAATGTTATAAGGCATGTGTACAAGCATGTGAGGGCAAGACAAATTTGAGTTACTGCAAGTAAATTTCAGTAGAGTGGACTACCCTGCATAGTTTTTCCACTTTGATATTCAGTATCTTTAAATTCAGCCCTCTGTAGTTTCCTTTCCTTCATAACACATGATCCAGTCCGTATCAGTATAGATATCCAGAAGATTTTATTTTATTTTATTTTTTTTACAATTGAGATCTGGGCCCGTATCCCTAAAGATTCTGAGAATCCTCTCAGAGAGCTCCTAACTTAACCTAAAAATTCCTTGCCAGGAGTTTTAGCTTAGAAGTGATTCCAGAACATTTTCAGTGAACTCTGAGCAAGGAATGGATGGAAAATCCTATCTTAGTGTGGAGGTGTGGTTGACCCCGTTGCTAGGTATGAGTCATCATTTCAAAAGCCGTGATTGGTTGATCCTACGAGTTTGATGGAAATGAGCTTTTGGTGATAATGAGCAAAGGATGTACCCTCAAATCAATAAACATAATTATACACTCTAATCTTATGCTGACTGTAATTGTAAATAATATTTCACATTCAAGAAAATATCTGGAAAATGAATAGTAAGCTGTAGGGGTTATAGCCTAACATTAGAATCTAAAATATGTGAAAACTTAAACTCATTACACCCTGTTCAAATAATGATTTGTGTCTTATTTGCTCATATTAATATCCTAGCTGACATATTTTGTACTTTCACTCCCATATGGACCCTGTTGAAAACAAGATGGCCTCTCTCAAGGGGCTGTCCTTAATGAAGTAGAAATCACAACGTTACAAGTCCAGTGTGGTCTTAACGAGGGTAACACGGCTCAGCTTTTAGCAATGTCTGTGATTGCAGACCCAAGTCATCACTGCTGCATTGTTGCATTTTCCCGGTTGCCAAATACCTCAGGGTTGTGATTACTTTCGTCTCCGGTGTAATAGTGTTGTGGCGTCGAGTTGGTGAAGTAGTTGCATCTCTAAGGAGATCCACCACAAACATGATTCCTGCACGATCCAATCTGTAGCGTCTCAATAATTCCCTGTCATCCAGTGTTTGCAGGACATCTCTCCTGCCTCTTCTGTTGGCCATTTTGTGCAGCTGCTTAGGGGAACTCCTAAGCCACTAAAAGTCCTCTTCCCTGCTCTTAGCAGATCTCGCCTTAGGAGCCCTTTTAAGCGCTAGGAATCTTGAGGAATAGCTTTTATATTAACTGGGATTGTCGTGTCACTTTTAGGGGAAATTCTAAGAAAACGTCATGACTCTGAGAATTTTCTTAGAATTTGGCCGCTAGGAGCCACTTTTTGCACAAAGATTCTTTAGGGATACGGGCCCTGATGTCTTTAAGTGTTCCTTTAATTTTTTTGACCAGTGTAAATATAGAAAGGTATTTATATAGGTGTAGATATACAGAAATATAGTGTGCTTTTAAATTTCTAGTTTGGTGATTTATATGAATAGTATGGTAATTTCACAAGCCATATATGGAAATTACCATACTATTCACAGACCAGAAACCACACATTGAAGATGTGTTGATTACACTTTCCTGTCACATTTACTTAGGGTTAGGGTTTAAGGTTTCACTCAAAATGCACATGTAAATAGTATCACTGTTCAAACTAATGTTACTCCACTCTGGACTATCACTTCAGTCTCTGCTATTTGCAACAATGACTGTCACATACAATAAGTAGCTTTGGTAGTATAAGTACAACAGAAAGCGTTATCAAACCTGACAACTTTTATATTTCAAAAGGTAAAAGAAGTATAACAAAGATCAGTTCCTCTTCATACTATATTATCTGATACTAAAACCTCCAGGCAGAAAGCCAGGGTAATGAAGTCTACGTACCGCGAGTGCTCTCCACAGTCAGACCGAACAAATGTTTTGGATGACTTTCCGTGTCGTCTGTGCCGAGTTTAAACCTGAGACTTGCTTATAACGAACGTTTACACAACACTTACCCTTATGGAAAGTCTCTTAAGAATCAACATCAGATAACACCGCTGTCCTCCTGACTCTGTGACAAAGACTGGGCTTTTTTCATGTGATCATGCACCAAACACAGACAGAAAAACCTGGAAGAACCAACCTGTTCTGCGACATTCTCCAGAGCTGACTCTGCTTGTGTTTCTGCTATGTCAAAGAGGCATGTCTCCCTCTTAAAAATCCATTATGGACACTTATGAATATGACATGTATGTTTGCTGATTACAGTTTTGCACTTACACAACTGTCCATTTACATTTAACCGGAGTGCCCTGTGTATCAATGTTGAACTTTGTGCTTTTCTGTTTGGGTTTTTTTTCTTTTTGGATGAACTTCAACAACAACTGAGCACAATGTCAAGCACCACCTCACCCTGGGTCCTGTGTCACAGAAGGTTTGAACTGAAATAAAACGGAAGCTCGCTGATCCAGAAGATAAATCATTCACATTCTCACTCTCTCTTGTTCGGCTCAGTCTCTATCCTCTCTGCTCAGAAATCTGAGTCACCCAGTTTCATTTCAACCAGATTCCTGATGCAGTTTGCAGGTTTCTGGGCATGATGTTTGCTCACACGAGATCCAGCTCCTGCAGTTTCTTACACAGTGCAAAAGCTTTCTAAAACATTCAAGCTTAAACGGTTTTCTTGTGTTTCCTGGATGCCGCAAGAGAAATGCTTCCATAAAACGACGATTCTTTGAGATTTTGTGTGTTAAGACTTAAGCTGTGCTGCAGCATGGCTTTTTTAGCAGCACATTGCTGATGTTCTCATTGTCAGGGTGGTTTCCTGTTTCCTGAGTTTGTAACACCTAACACTGGTTATATTCGCTAAAATGTTTTGGTTGTCTAAATTCATAGGGTGCCGAGCTGGCAGTTTCAGCACTGAATGAATTTCAGTCTGCAGGCAGCTGTTTCATAATTTGTGGTCATGCAAACTTTCAACCTCCAAGGGCCCAACCAGATAAGAGCATCAGACTGTGGTTTTTAGGTTAACTATCACATGGGAGGAAAAACTTATCAATAACAAGACCATGTAAGGGTCTTAGGGTGACAAATCTATGTAAGGTCTAGCCCTCGGTTCACAGGTTCATGGGGGTGTCAGAGTGCTTCAGTTTGCTTTTATCATAAAATCTTTTGTTTGTTTCTGTAGTTTGGTTCGGTAGGCTATAGTAAAGCTACTCATTTGTGTGACGCTTGGGTAAAAGTTGCAAGAATTTCACGCAAACTTTTCACTTTCTCTTTGAGGTTACTGCGTTAGAATACGGTGTGAAAATGAACGTGAATAAGGCTGTAACATGACACAATGTGGAACAAACGAAGCGCTGTGAATACTTTCCAGATGTAGTGAGTGATCGTGTGAGTGATCGAGTTGATGCCTTGCTCAAGGGCGCCGCCGTGTGGAGGAAGGAGGCTGTTACTCGCGTTTATGCCGAGTCTACAGGCTGAAAAGTGGCGTCGGGTAATTCCATCAATGTGCTCTTGTGAACCGGAGCGGAGGTTTGTTAGTGCTGTTTGTGCTGCTGCGGAGAGCATCGCCGATCTGAGAAACATCCTCATTGGCTGATTTGTGACGTTTAGGGGGGCGTGGAGCCGGCTTGGTGGCACCAGTGTGACATTTATTTTTTAAAAGAAACAAATCTGTCAGCAGACCACGTTTCTATTATCAACCCTCTGTTTGTGATAACTGATTTATTATCATTCATTTGTTTGTCTTCAGTCTAAATCGCAGAGCCCTCCTCCGTTTCCCCTCCTCCCCCGCCTCCTTCTCCATCCCTCCTCCTCACATTTCCCCGGTGCTGCTGCTGCTGCTGTCTCCGTGTCTTCGGTGC